TAAGACTTTGTTTCCCTCTGCTTTGCCCTTATTCCTAGCAAGTACCCATCCAAGGTTTCCAACTGATGGTCTTGTGAGTTCACAGGGGTTCTTCCCCAACAGTGGGTTTTATACTGTAATATTTGTCTCTTGAGAACAGTGAGATTGCTGAAAATTTCACTCTTGATTTTCAGAAGCTTTCAATTTTGGTCTGAAGCTCTCACTGTGTAGAATTTGGTAAGTGGCTTCAGGGGAAAACCAGCCTTGTGTTAGGCCCAGGTCTTCAACTGCTCTTTCACTGGGATCTTAGACTCCTAAAATCTTGATTTTCATCTCTTCCAGAAGTGCTCTCATGGTTCCTCTGCCTCAGCAAAGTCTGGCTTCTTCACCTTTTACCTGAGAATCAGCAAATGTACTTGGGGAAAACGTGGCTGCAGAATGTCATCTCATTTCTCTACGGTTCCTCGTTTCCAGAATCTAGACCCTTCTAGTGTTGGTTGCTTCAGCAGCTGTCTAACACCTTTAAACAATGATTTTTAAAATGTATCTAGTTTTCCTAGTTCTCATCAGGAGTGTTGGTCTGCCACAAGCTACTCTGTCATATTCAGAAAAGGGAATCTCCCGCTAGGAATGAAGTCATGAGAAGAAATGAATCTTTTCATAATTCTGGTGCTTTCTTTATTAGCAGTGGTTCTCAAAGGTGGTTCCCAGCAGTATTACCTGGGAACTTGTTAAATTCAAATTCTTAGGCCCTTCCCCAGACCTACTGAATCAGTAACTCTGGGGAGAGACCCAGTACTCTTGTGTTTTAATAAGTCCTCTGAGTGGTATTGATACATGCTAAAGTTTGAGAACCACTGCTTTATCAATTAGTTGTTTGCTATTTAATTTTTCACTCTTACCTTCACTAGGCCCTGGGGAGCGTACAAGGGACAAAAGTGAAAAAAACTTCGTCTCTGCGGGTACTTTGTCAGTCTTCCGAATGATCATTTGATGTTTAGAAGACATTGAGTCCCCACTCTTCCTGGCACTGTGCTTAGTGCCTATGAACATGGAGTGGACATGTAAGCAAGTAATTGTAATAGAACATGAGATTTATAATAGCTGTGTTTATAAAATGCTGTAGGAGCTAGAGAGAATTATTCTGTCAATGGGGAAAATGGAGCCAGATATTAATTGATGTTATTTGAACAGGGTAGGATTTGAAAGTAAACAAACAGAAGGGTATTCTAGGTGTGTTCATAAACACAATGACCATGCAATTCATTATACAAAGGAGGTCACTTTTAAGAATCAGAAGGGGATACTTTTGTGCCAGGATAACTGGCATAAGCCAGGACTGTTACTTGCTAACTGGGGTATATGATTGCTCTATTTGTAAAGAACAAGTGATGCTTTGAGCCCAGAGTTCTGTGTCAATTTGTGGAAAACTCATCTCTTTTAATTATTTGTACAGTTTACAACATTCTAACTGGATAGTGTGTTTGTTTCCTAGGGTTGCTGTTACAAATTACAGGCATACCTCAGAGATATTGCAGGCTTAGTTCCAGACCACTTCAATAAAGAAAATCACTTGAATTTTTTGGTTTTCCAGTGCATATAAAAGTTATAGCATTATTTTTAAAAAAAACAATGTGCATACCTTAATTTTAAAATACTTTATTGCCAAAAAAAAAAAATGCTAACAGTCATCTGAGCCTTCAGTGAGTTGTAGTCTTTTTGCTGGTGGAGGGTCTTGCCTCAATGTTGATGGCTACTGACTGGATGGTGATTGCCAAAGGCTGGGTGGGTGGCTGTGGCAGTGTCTTAAAAAAAGCAATGACGTTTGCTGCATCAGTTAACTCTTCCTTTCACAGAAGGTTTCACAACATGTTATGCTGTTTGATAGCATTTTAACCCACAGTAGAACTTCTGTCAAAATTGGAGACCGTCCTCTGAAACCTTGCTGCTGCTTTATCAACTAAGTTTATATTTCAGCAGTGTTCATAGCTTCTTCACCAGGAGTGGATTCCATCTCAAGAAACCACTTTCTTTGCTCATCCATAAGAAGCAATTCCTTATCTGTTCAAGTTTGGTCATAAGATTACAGCAATTTAATCTCATCTTCAGGCTCCACTTCTAGTTTTTTGTCTTTTTGTGTTTTGTTTTTGCTGTATTCATCACATCTGAGGATCCTTCCTCCACTGAAGTCTTGAATCTCTCAAAGTGATCCATGAGGCTTGGAATCAATTTCTTCCAAACTTGTATTAATGTTTATGTTTTGGCCTCCTCATAAATTATGAATGTTCTTAATGGCATTTAGAATGGTGAATCCTTTCCAGAAAGTTTTCAATTCACTTTGCCCAGATATGTCAGAGGAATCACTGTCTATGGCAGCTATAGCCTTATGATATGTATCAGAGTCACATTCTGATGCCTGAGTAGATAGAATACAGTGACATCATCATAGCTGACTGCAGCCTCAAACTCCTGGGCTCAAGTGATCCTCCTGCATCAGCCTCCTAAACAGCTGGGACTACAGGCACGTGCCATGACGCCTGGCTAATTTTTCTATTTTTAGTGGAGATGGGGGTCTTGCTCTTGCTCAGGCTGGTCCCGAACTCCTGAGCTCAAGCGATCCTCCTGCCTCGGCCTCCCAGAGTGCTAGGATTACAGATGTGAGCCACCACTCCTGGCCTGTATTTCTTAAACACTAAGACTGGAAAGTTAAAATTACTCCTTGATCCATGGGCTGCAGAATGGATGTTGTGTTAGCAGGCATGAAAACAACATTCATCTCCTTCTGCATCTCCCTCAGAGCTCTTGGGTGACTAGGTGCATTGTTTATGAGCAGTAATATTTTGAAAGGAAATCTTTTTTCTGGGCAGTAGTTCTCAACAGTGGGCTTAAAATATTCAGTTAGCCGTGCTATAAGTAGATATGCTGTCATCCAGGTTTTATTATTTCATTTCTAGACCACAGGGAGAATAGATTTAGCATAATTCTGAAGAGCCCTAGGATTTTCAGCATGGTAAATGAGCATTGGCTTCAACTTAAAGTCACCAGTTTTTGTAGCCCCTAATAAGAGTCAGCCTGTCCTTTGAAGCTTTGAAACCAGGCAATGACTTATCTTATATGAAAGTCCTAGATGGCATCTGCTTCCAATGGAAGGCTGTTTTGTCTACATTGAAAATCTGTTGTTTAGTGTAGCCATCTTCATCAATAATTTTAGCTAGATCTTCTGGATAACTTGCTATAGCTTCTAACACTTGCTGCTTCAGCTTGTACTTTTATGTTATAGAGATTGCTTCTTTCCTTTTTTTTTTTTTTTTTGAGACAGAGTCTCACTCTATTGCCCAGGCTTGAGTGCTGTGGTATCCAGCAAAATTTTTTTCTATTTTTTTAGTAGAGATGTGGTCTCGCTCTTGCTCAGGCTGGTGCTTCTTTCCTTAAACCCAATAAACCAACCTCTACTAGCTTCAAACTTTTCTTCTGCAGCTTCCTCACCTCTCTCAGCCTTCATGGGATTGAAGAGAGTTAGGGTCTTGCCCTGGATTAGGTTTTGGCTTGAGGGAATGTTGTGGCTGTTTGATCTGTTCAAACCATTCACACTTTCTCTATATCAGCAATATAGCTGTTTTGCTTTCTTAACATTCATGTATTCACTGGAGCATCACTTTCATTTCTTTTAAGCACTTTTCCTATGCATTCACAACTTTGCTAACTATGTGGCACAAGAGGCCTATCTTTCAGCCTATCTTGGCTTTCCACCTACCTTCCTCACTAAATCATTCCTAGCATTTGATTTCAAGTGACAGACTGACTCTTCCTTTCACTTGAACACTTAGAGGCCATTGTAGGGTTGGTAATTTGGCCTAATTTCAGTATTGTGTCTCAGGGATAGGGAGGCCTGATGAGAGAGGGAGTGAGACGGGAAAAAGCTGGTTGGTGGAGCAGGCAGAACACACACCACATCTATGGATTAAGTTCACCGTATTATATAGGTGCTATTTCTGGTGCCCCAAAACAATTACAATGGTGACATCAAAGATCACTGATTACAGGTCATCAAAACAGATATAATAATGATGGAAAAGTTTGAAATATTGCAAGAATTACCAAAATGTGACACAGGCACGAAGTGAGCACATGCTGTTGGAAAATGGTGCTCATAGAACTTGCTTGACACAGTGTTGCCACAAACCTTTGGTTTGTAAAAAGTGCAGTATCTGTGAAGTTCAGTGAAGAGGTATGCCTGTACCACAAACTGAATGGCTTAAAACAACAGAGATTTATTTTTTCAAAGATCTAAAGCCCAGAAGTCTAAAATGAAAATATTAGGGCCGTGTTCCCTCTGGGGAAGATGGTTGCTGGCAATCCCTGGCATTTCTTGGCTTGCAGCTGCATCACTTCAATCTCTGTCTCCCTGGCCACGTGGCCATCTTCCCTCTGTGTCTGTGTATGTGTACGCCTCTCATGGCCTTCTGATAAAGATACCTGCCATTAGATTTAGGGCCTACCCTAATCCAATATAAACTCATCTCAACTAATTTCATCTGCAAAGAGCTTATTTCTAATTAAGATCCCATTCACAGGTATTGGGGTTAGCACTTCAGCCTATCTTGGGGTGGCACAATGCAAACCACAACAGATGGGATGGTTTTAGTAGCTATTTAAAGTTTCTGGAGTTTAATTGGCTTAAATTTTCATTACTTCATACCATTTAAGGAATGTTCATTTTTATTGAAAGCTGGAGTTCATATAGTGATTTATCTCATCTTATGAATATATTTAATATTCAGGAAAATGTTTTTCTCTCAGTAACCAAAGTCTCTATGCCATGCAGATAGCTTTTTAATTTTTACTGTTTTTTATTGTTTCATTTTGTTTTGGCATTTTCAGGTTTCAGTTTTTCTGTTCTTTTTTTCTTTTATTTCTTTTTCTTTCTTTTGTCTCACAGTGTCACCCAGGCTGGAGTGCAGTGGTGCAGTCAAAGCTCACTGCAACCTTAAACTCCTGGGCTCAAGCTATCCTCCTGCCTCAGCCACCCAAAGCGCGGGGACTACAGGTACACGCCACCACACCCAGTTAATTTTTTTCTAAATTTTTGTAGAGGCAAGATCTCTATATGTTGCTCAGGCTGGGCTCAAACTCCTGCCTTGGCCTCCCAAAGCACTGGGATTACAGGCCTAAGCCTCCACACCTGGCCAGTTTTTAAAATAGCATATGAGCCTTAGTTTTTTATGTCTAGCAATTAGTCAAATGTTCATAAGTGATGTGGTTGATGTAGATTTTAATTTTGTTTTAGTTTTGTGGTAGCCCCTTTTCAATATAATTGCCAGTCCAGCTCAGCTAAATATCGTTTAATCTTATGTGTTAGATACAAGACAGTTCTCAAAAGCTTAAAACATAATACAGATATTTATTTGATTATTCCATATAACAAATCTGAATAAATACATTTTCACCCAGGCAATTGCCTTTTGTATTTCTCTCTTTGTGTACGTGTGCGTGCATGTAACGCCAAATGGTTAAGGGTAAAATGGCTGCAGCAAAGCTAAAACTAAAATATAACCTTGGGGAAAAAAAACTTTAATGGTAGAGACCACTGTATGTGTTGCAATTTGCTGTTACTTTCAATGGAGTTAGAGAAATGATTTTTGATCAGTTACTTATCAAATAAATTAACCATTTGGACAACTGGCTGCTTCCCTGGAAGAGGGGTAGAGAATGGGACAGAATGGACCAGACTAGCCAGATTATCTTGCATGTAATTTTGAGCTATTAGCCTGGGGAATGGCATGCTAAGATTAGAGTCATAATTTTGCTCAACTGAAGAGGGTGTGAGTTAGTACAATAGAAGATTGTTGTCTAGACCTCATTTCTTAAGAATGTTGCTCTGCCAGCTCTACTCATTCCAGCAGCTACAAACTCTACATTATATTGCAGTGGGTTGATGGTCATTTGGAATTTTTTGGGCGGGCTAATGTTTGGATACTTTGTTATATTTAACATTGAAACTCTGACATTGATTCTCTCTATCACGTTCATTTTGGAAGCAGTATATTTAATCACATGAAAGTTGGTGAAACTTTAATTACAGTTTGCAAATGCTAAGTCTTTATGTTGTTTTTGTAACATAAAGTTGAGGACTAAGAGATAATATAAAAAGTATATAAATCACAAGAAAAATATTAATGATGTAGAAAAATGAAGAAATAGCACAGTTAATTTCTTCAAAGGAATTATACTAGTGCCAACAAATATCTATAAAGATGGTTGACCTTATTAGGAGAATGCACATTAAGACAAAAAATGATTTCTTGGGCCAGGCGCAGTGGCTCACGCCTGTAATCCTAGCACTCTGGGAGGCCGAGGCGGGCGGATTGTTTGAGCTCAGGAGTTCGAGACCAGCCTGAGCAAGAGC